AATTTTTATCACTTTAAAAATTTCAAAAATTAGGAATAATATTAAATTTTTTGAAAAAAATCTATAAAATTTGAAAACATAAAAATAATTTTTTTAATTTTTAGAAATTCTAAAATTTTTTAAAAACCCAAAAATAATTTTTAATTGTTTAATAAATTGTAGAACAATAAAAAATAAAAATAAAATTTCTTTTTAAGAATTATATAAGATTAGAAAATCCATAAAATTAAAAATATATTCAAAATTTTTGAAAAAAATAGAAGATACTATACTCATAATTTTAAAATTATAAAAAATATTTTTTCTCTGTAAGTTTTAATAAATTTTTAAAAATGAAAAATATTTCTTTTCTACATTAAATTTCTTTTTCAAAAAATATGTTTTTGGTTTTTTATTTTTTTAAAAAAATTAATTATTTCCATTTTTAATTTTTTAGGAATTTTTTTAAAAAATACCAATATATTTTAAAATTTTCAAAATTTCAAACAAATAAAAAGTTATTCTCTAATTAATATTAACATGGATTTGATTGATGCTTAGTCATTTATTGAAAAATTTATTTGAAAGATGGTATCATATAAAAATTTACAATAAAAAGACGTACAAGTCTATTGAATTTACATTTTAATATATAGAAATAATTTTGAAAATTAATATTACATTTCAAGTAAAGTACTTATAAACTAAACGTTGTGATATTTTTATACTAATAATCACATTCCTTACAATCATATTACAGGAATATATTTATTGCTCATGTTTGAAACCTAGCTTTACAGGAGTATTTTTGAAACTGATTTTCATTCTTTTGTTGAATGTTCTGAAGACATGAGTTATGAGGTAAGCCATATCCTATTTTTTGGCTTAATGCAATCGAGGCACAAGTAAATATGTAATTTTTTTCAGTCGCTATACTAGTTATTAACTTTGGTCTATGGTTGTTTTTCTTTCAATTTTTTTATTATCTTTTAAATATAGAGTATAGGTTAATTGTACTTTTGATAGATTTAGCCTTTTTTTTAATGATTTAAAAATTATCAAAATTAGATAAGAGTATGACAAATTTTGTAAATTTCTAATTTTTTTTAATCATAGGTAAAATTTTGTAAAGTTTTGTGCACATGTTACATGCATTGGCATGGAGCGTATTTAACACTATATTTATAACTATATATAAAAGTAAACTTTTTTTTATACTGTTGCAACTTAGGGTTTAATATCATTCAATTACGCCCTCTCAAGTGTATTTTTTTTTGTTTATTTCATTCAAATATCATTATTATTATTATTATTATTATTATTATTATTATTATTATTATTATTATTATTATTTTGAATTTGTAGAGAGATAAGGAGTTAGAGGGAGAATGAGAGATAGAAAGCAAAGAAAAAGAATTAATGGGAGGGAACAAAGGAAAGAGATGAAAACGAAGAGAACATGAAAGTTTAGGATATTTTATTATTTTTTATATTTGAATGAAACGGTACGT